GAATTCGAGTCATGGTAGGGGGAGCAGGGAGGAAACATTTAGGAACTAGAGGAAAGTTGTATTTCTCATGGTTGTTACATCGCACCCTGACTGGCTCATCTCCTCCCCGAGACCTGTCTGCAAGGGGATCTCTAGTGAGCCGACTTTATAAGGGTGAGATCAACATTAAATGAAATATATACAAAGCAGTTATCACAATTCCCAGGACAAAATATATCCATCAATGAAAAGAATTACTTTTAGTCTTTTATACGAATTGTTTGTATAAATATTAAAAACTGATAAAAAGTCCAAAATATACCATCGTTTCATACCTGAAAAGCAAACGCTATTTTCCAAAGCAGCGCAAGAGTTTTTTCTCTGTGCCTGTCCACAATATCCTTAGACAGAATTGTGTTTCCTGTAAGTGAAAAGACAAGCAATTAACATAATGCATGCCCTTATCAATGCCTTTTTAAAAAGTTTATTCTTTCTTGATGCCCTTGTTTGTGGCTTGTTCCCAGGGTTATTTGGTTATTCAGAAAATTGCACTGGATAGACCACATCAGCTCTACTTTCTTAGATATGGTATTTCACTCAATTTTTAGCTAAGTTTTGCTAATTTATTATCCTAGTAAGTATGAGTAGAAATCAGACACACAAATCATAGGAATATGTAAAAAAAGTTATGACATATTTGAAAAAGAACTAGATATTAAGGGACTTCACAGGAAAGCTGTATATGGCCGTATAGTAGCTAGTTGGTTATAGGTTGAGCTGTTAATCATAAAGTCAGTGGTTCGAACACACTAGTCACTCTGCAGCTTTTAAAAGATTTAAAGATTTGGAAACCCAAAGACGCCATTCTTCTCGGTCCAGTAGGGTCAACATTAGTTAGAATTGATTAGCTCGAAGTGAGTTTTTCTTTGTGGTCTGGGAGGCTGTGCAATTTATACATAGATACACGTTGGATCCTGCAAAGCCAGACCACAGCCTGAGAAGAGTAGAAAATAAAAAAGAAAACTGAAAAGGCACATACATGGAAGGTGTGAGGGTAATTGAAGGCCCAAAATATAAGGCTTGATGGCAATTTTCATCAATACTTTGAAGTTCTAATTTTTCTTCTTAAATTACATAGTAAACATTTCAGAATATATTTTAATGTATATCAGTTAATTCATGTTAAATGTTTCAGAGGTGAAGTTGACTCCAAGCTTCTTTATAAGAAAACGACTAACTTTTCCTTTAGGAGTTTCTAAGCACAGGTGGAGAAGTTGTGCCATCTTAAACAAGACTGGAAGATTTTAACCTGAATAAATGAGCTTGACCTCTGATAGACCCATTTTTGGTTTCAGAAGACTTGAATCTCTATTTAGTATACCAAACTCACTAGCAGTCAGTTGATTACAACTCACAGAGACCCTATAGGGAAAAGGGGAACTTCTGTGGGTTTTGGCAGCTGCAAATCTTATGACAGCAGAAAATCTCATCTTTCTTTTGCAGAGTGGCCTGTGGGTTCAAACAGCTGAACTTATGGTAAGGAAACACATAACCACTACAGGAAATTCCAAGTTGATGTGATTTGTACTGTTCAAATATATCTTTGGATCAAAGAACACCATGTGAAGTAGAACTTGATCTAAAAACTAAATAAAGCCAGTGAACACCTTCTCCGTCTCAGGCTAACAACACTAAATTAAAAGATACTGATTTCCTGTGGGTAAGCAAAATGAAGTGTGGTATGTGGAGTATGTTCTGTATCAGCTGAGAGGAGAAAACTAGTACCATTTTTGGAATCAGCAGGTCAAATATACCCAGAAACAAGGCTAACATTTAAGGCATCAAAATGCATGTTAGTCAGTGAGGAAAACGTTTGCTTTTTACTCAGTTTTTACCTTGCTCATCAATCAGTTGAATTCCTCGTGATTTAAGAATTTCAAAAACAATGTCAACATTATGAATTTTCTGAAGACGGCTTATTGCAGGAATTCTGAGTTTCTTTGAGAGATTCCAGTTTTGTGTGAGAAGTTCCATGGTTCGCCTAGCAATAGAGAAATTTTGAGATGAAACCACTACACAAAAGCATATATGAACAAATAACTTCACTTAAATATAGTTAATAGCTAAAGAAGCCCCAAGAAAGCTTTCAGGTCAAGAAAGACCAAAAAATTAATCTCAATACCATAATTATAACAAAAATAGCACATGCATTATTTATTTGTTTGTTTTATTTTATTAACTATGCAATCCCCTTGATAATATACATCATTTATGTGGATGTGTTAAACACAAAAAATACAGTAGACACTGCTGTTTCATGGTTAGAAAATGACTTATTTCCCAGTATTAGTCTAGGTTTGGGAAGACGTCTTTTGAAGAGGTAGTAATGAAGAACTGGGAGATTTACACACAGACCTACATGCGGACAGACTAGCAGGATTCTACAGAGAAAGTAAAAAAAAAGAAAGTAAAATGTTACTTATTGAGGGGGTACTATATTCTACACAAGAAGCAAATACTCTATCCATGCCGGCTCCACAAGCCAGGTTTATACAGACGATGAAAGCGAGGCCTAGAGAAGTTACCTACATTACCTGATCACTAGCTAGTAAGGACATAACAAAAGCAAACAGAAACCTGTGAAAGTATAGAAAAGGTCTTCTGAAAATTAATCTGTTTTATTAAACAAGATAATTCTATGTCTGATACTTACACAAGACGCACCCCACACTGCAAGTCTACAGCAAGATTTGTAACAGCAAAATCAAATTCATCAAATGGCGTCTGAACGTGGCTAACAGGTAATCCCAAAAAGCTAAGGTGACGAGAAAGATCACCTTCACCACTCAGAAAATCTCGAGAAAAAGCCAGAAGAATTTCTTTACTAGCCTATAGAAAAGAAATGGTAGGTATTATATTCCAATATTATATTTTGTTTATAATAAAACAAATCCTTCAAATCACTCTCAACATAAAGGAATAAGAGTATTATAAATAGATCATAAGTTTCATATCACAGGGCAATAAAATACATTTCTTATATTTCTAAGTTAACAGTTTTAAAAAATGCCCAAAATTAATAACATATTCTAAAAGCCAGTAAGTATTAAGTTGATAATCTTAAGGTGATTAAAATTGATTAAAATTATGAAAAATGTTCCCCAAAATTAGAGCCTCAGAAGTCTATCTCAGTATATTTTCCGGTCAAAATGAAGAAAAAGGGTGCTGTATGCTAGTGAGATGGCAGCGCACAAAGCCGGCACAGTTAGAGCCACTGGTAAAAATCACCAGAAAGGCACTGCTGTTCTGTATCAGAACACTATCCTTAGGGATTTCATTTTTTTCCAAAACAAACTGTACAACAGACATAAAAAGTCTTAGATGTGAAAAGAAAATTAAATAAATAAATAAATAGATAAATAAATAAATAAATGAATAAATAAATAGATGGCAGATCTTAGATGTGGAACATAAAACATGAGGACCATACCTTGAATTCAGCATCTTTACAGAAGAGACAAGGGTCATGATCAATAAGTCTGGAGTTTTTCGCATAGTCAAGGAAACAGACCAACAACAATAGCTTTTTCAAAGTAAACTTGGACAAAGCTTCTTCATGACCTTTAAGAAAACATACAAAAGCACAGCAATTTCTTTATGGAATTCAAGTTTCACCTTCAAACAGCAATAATAATTGTGTGCATACAATAAAAACACAATCTCAAGCACAAATAAAATAACTTGCTTGCTCTTAGTGTTTTATATACACAAATCCATTTAATCCTCAAAATAACTGAATGGGGTGAGTTCCATTAATATTTCCATTCCTAGAGAAACCCGAGGAACAGATAGCAAAGATGTACTTGGTCCATGTAGCTATCAGCTACCCGTGGTACTGGTAATCACAAGATCAGTGATTCAAAACCACCAGCAGCTCTGCAGGAGAAAAATGAACTGTCTGCTCCCAGGAAGGTTGAAAGTCTCAGAAACCCACAGGGGCCATTCTATGCTCTCTTATAAGGTCACTCTGAGCAGGCATCGATTTGGTTGCAGTGGGCTTTATAAAAATAAAGTACATTTAAGTAGCATCTAGGTGCTGGATATATCGTAGCAAACAAATACCCATCCACCTGGGGGGGGGGGGGGTAAGGGGGGATAACAAGGTAGCCAGGGCAGGGTAAGGGAGAAGCAAGAGAAAACACATTGCGGAAAATAATTACAAGTAGTGATTCAAAAAATGATGGACAATAACAACGTTAAAGTAGTGTGAGTAGTGGACAGATAGCTGTTGCCGTAAGCTTTTCTGAAAAGGTAAAACTTACATTGAGATGAGAAGAGTACGCAGAAACTAGTTATGCATGGGATAGGGAGAATTTAGTGGGGGCAAAAACATTTACCATCTCTGTAAAGATGAGGAACGCTGGGGTGTCTGTATTCAGCTGCTATATCAGGATTCCAAAGCAAGCGATTCAGAATGAACACAGCCAACCCCATGACATCACTGTTGTCTTCCAAAGATATGAGTTCTCCAAAAACTGTCTGAGAAGAAATTAGAGCTAAAGTCAGGTCCATGTTATCTCTAAGAGGAAGAGGGACATACTGAGGGAAAGTAAACAGACAGCGTTCTACTTATTAATTAGGATGGGAATGATGTAATTGTCATAAACATTTAACAGTACCTACAGTACATCGCACAATGGAAAACCCGAAAGCTCAGGAGTAAGGCAATTTCTATAAATCACCAAACAATCAAGATCTTCTATAGAAGTTTTAAACTTTAAGTTAAAGAACTGTCTATCTAATGGAAGCTTTTCCTCAAATTTAATTATAACTGTTCTACTAAATATGACGTCAACACTACAGAAACTTCAATATTCAAAGTCTTCTAGTAATTAGCAAGTGGAAAAATATCCACAAAGGATCTAAAATAATTTGGAAAGTTAAAATTATAACCAACAATTTAGATATGAAATTAGTTTAATATCAATATACTTATTTTCAATCTTTAAAATTTTTAAACAATTCAGACAGAAGCATTAAATTACACACTATAACTCTATAATGAGAAAATAAAGATGAAAACTTGAGAAAAATACAAGTATCTTCTAAACTAGATAATTGTTTAATATTTTTGTCTTTCAAGCTTGTCTTAAGATCCTCAAAGTTCAAACCCATGTACAGAATCATAAGATATAGAAATAGTACTGTAGCAATTGTTATGGTTAACAGTTATTTAGCCCTCCCTTCTCTGTAAAAAGATTAGATAACCCCACTAACTATCATACACTTGAGTGTCTTTGGGGAGGATAATCCATTCTTGCTTCATATACACCTAGCAGATGATGTCCTCTGTCCAGTGGGATTAGATGGAGGTGATGCACACGAAATCTAAGCAGAAGCTTTATAAGGCATTTATTGATATCCTGGGTGTTGTTGGGCAGTGCAGTACGTAAATAACTTAGATCCAAGTGATATTTTTATAAAGTATTCCAACATCTAAATAAGTACAGTTAGACTTTCCTATCAGACTGCCTCATACACTAATGAATATTCAGCTAGTCATTAAACACTTAAGCTTCCATTTTGCCAGTGAAGTAGAAATAGTAATACACATATTACTGAGTTTTGTGGATGTTTAAATTAGAAAATATATGTAAAATGCCTATTCCCTTTCATATCTATGTACTCAAAAATGAAGTTCCTGAAACTACTAATCCAAGTCCAAACTACATTATCTGTAAGAGACTAAACTGACAAGTTACTAGACAAGAGTTTGGCTTAATATACTGGCTTATTTACCTTATGAACAAGTTGTAATAGATCTTACATTTTATACTGAAACTGACAGAAGAACCAAGCTAACCAAATAACTATCACTTTTAACAGTGAAACTGCATTTAATTAAGGTGTCTATTCTACTAAAAGTACACTAAAATTTATCTTTGTTTAAAAACCTAAAATATATTTACCTCTAAGCCAATTCGTAGCCACAAAGGATTATAGAATAAAAGCCAATCTAATACTTTCTGCCGTTCTCCTGAAACACATGTAAAAAGCAGGTAAGCTCAGACCACTAAAGAGTAAATAAAACTAAATAAAAAGTAAATAAAACTAAAGTAAAAACTTTCTGGAGAACTCCGTAGAAAAAGGATTAATTGCTTATATGAAATAACTTAATATAAAACAAAGCAGACATCCATTCTTAAAAGCACATATGATATTAAAGATGTGAGATAATAGACAGCAATGCCAAAGTGTAAATACACACACACACACACACACACACACACACACACACACACACACGAAAGGACTTCCAAAAATTCATAGGATTAAGATAATGGCATTTTTCCACAAACTTTTTGAAGTCCCCCTCATTCTGAAATATAAAATCTTATGAGTGACTTTAAGAACTAATCGCAAAGTGCTTACAAACTTCTTACCCACATCCTTCCAAATATGTCTATCTTTACGAACAATTAACCGTTTTGCTTCAATTTCGATTTCAAGTTTTTTAATAGCTTTCACCATTTTTTCGGAAGAAAACAAACGGCAGGCTGCACGCCGTAATCGATTCAGTCTGCAGCGGGCAGTGTAAGCTCTGAGAGAAACTTCATCTTTCGTCGGCGCTCTAGGAACACTTATTTTATGTTGGCTCTCCATTCCCAAAAGAAGAGTAGCAGCATTTACTGGGAAAAACAAAGGAAGTATCATTTTGGTTAAATACTATTTATCTTTAAATTTGGCATTAAATATAGCTTGAGAGCTCAAAATTGAATCTAAGGGGCTCCCTGGCCCCTCAAGCTTGCCCCTGTCCTTCATATTTTACAATAAAGGCATCACTACTCACTCAGTCCATAAGTCCATCTATCCTTGCAGCCAATTGACTGCCTGCACAGTGTCTCCCTGGCTGACTCCTCCACACCACCTCCACAACTATTACTGTAATTCCACAGTACTAGCTCTAATCAAAATAACCAAAACAGAATCTCTACTCCTGCCCTTTTTATAGATTAAGTAAAAGATAACCTATTGAAGAGTATCACGTTTAAAAAGTCCATTACATTTTGAGATATAATTTCAAATTTTATAAACCATATTTCTGGTTTAAGTTTCGTTTCCTTTGGGGGGAAAAACAGAAAGGTACCATCTATACTCCTATATAAGTCAAGTTTTTCAGCACATTTTTAATGCAGTTTTGTGGTAAGATTAGGTGCCTCAGCTGATATGCAGGTCAGCTTATACCGAGTTTATACGGTATCTTAGAAGTCACCTAATTCAAAGGTCTTTTTAGTACATGTGGAGTTTACATAATCTGGTGCCTTGAGACTATTAAGAGTGAAGGGGTGGAGTTTAGCCTGTCAATCAGGTCACAGCTTGATGACCTCATTTGGAGGTGCTTTGGAGGAGACAAATAACTCGCAGGAGGTGGGACACACACACACACACACACACACATACTGCTTGGTATTCCTGATGACAAGACACATAGAGCTACGCTAGAGCACTGGAGCTGGAAGAGCCACGTGGAGACCCACGTGCTTACACCGCCATTGGATCCACAAGACTTTCTACCGACTGGCCTGTGATCTTCCTGTATTCAGCGTCATTGCATGGGTTTCATGAGGCTGAAGAAGAATTTATAGATGGTATCGGACATATGGGCTCATATTGGACTTATGGACTTGATCTGGACTGGCCTGGGATGTTTCTCAATATGCAATTGCTCGAGTATCTATGAATTTGTTTATCTGGTCAACCCTGACTAACACAGTACAGAAATGCCACGCGTGATTGTTCTGACACATACAAACCAATCTTTGCAACAGTGGGATCCTGACCGTTTTAAAAAGATATCCTATGTGATGGTTGGAAGATTTGAATATTTAAAAGAATTCCCTCTAATCTGGAGTTGATATTGATCCCTATAACTCTGGGATGCGAGCTGTACAAACGCAAGTTTCCTTCTCTCTCAGGAGAAAATCTTTTAAATGTTTGAAAAGCACTATCTTCTCACTATTGTCCCTCACCCAAGTCTTTTCCAGAATAAGTACCCTCTGATATCAACTGCTTTTCAAATCCCTTACAGTCCTATAGCTTGCCTTCATATCAGGACACACAAGACATTACAGTTTATTCACATTGCTAAAACTGAACTGAATTTTTTAGCAGCCACATTTTAATGTTAATTTTGACTGAGGTATAAAACAGTCGGAGACTGGTAAAATGAAGCCTATTCACCTTAAAAATGGAAATTGAACTGGCTGATGAGAGAATGAAAGTAAAGCAAAAAAAGTAAATGTCAATTCTTTTAGTACAAAATTTACTAAAAGTTCCTACCTCTACACTCCTTAAGACCCAGGCCAATGCATTAATGGAAAATACCATTCAATACAATATAACAAATAAAACATGTATAATTAGCCATGGCATATTTATGTTAAAAATGCTGTGTAAGCAAGAATATTAAGAGCCAGATCTTTACCTTCAGAGATACTTGTTTTGACAGTGAAGTCATCAGGAGTCAATATAAAATTTAACCACCAAGTGAAGCCCTGCTCTTGCTTCTCCTTCCAGCGTTCATCATAAAACATATTTTTTGCAGCAAATGGCATTGGATGTCTAGGAATATCTAAGAATACAATTAGGTTATTGTATAATTTCCTTTCAGTTATTAAAAAGTGAATAGCACAAGATTATTTTACTAGCAAATTCCTGTACTTTTAAAACACAACAATCTGTGCTTTTCTGATACTTACTGGAAAGAGTTAATAGAATCAAGGGCCTGAAATACCATAAGAGCAAATGCAGAATTAGTAAAGCAATATTTCTTAGTTATTTAAAATCCTGTTATCAAGAGTTGATTTCACAAAAGACTGATAGAATATCATATGTGTAATTAAAAACGTACTTTTAAATATCCGTAAGGCTTTCATTAAATAAAGACCCAATTTATTTCCATTCAAAACATAGTGTGTTTCATGTCAATTTTCAAAGAGCTTCAACGCATACACACTTGCCTGTTTTTAGTGGTTTTATGAAGGTCAAATTGGACTGTGCCACAGGAACAATAGCTTTAGTCCTCTTGTTCGTTTTGGAACTAGGAGTTCTGCATAGTAATGAATCTAAAATAAATTACAAGCAGAATTAATAGCATTAAAATAATAATACCCCAAATAATGAACTGATACATTGTTTTGAAATTAAAGTTTGACTTCTTCGTAGTTCTTCGTAGTCATGTTCATTTGGCAAATCTTGAGTACTTACTATGTACCAGACACAATACTATAAACTCAGCGGTCAGTGAAACTGACACTTACAAGCTATACAGAGGGTGTACCCCGCAAAATGGAAATAAGCTCTACTGGGCAGAGCTTTCACAGTATGCAATTTTCCTGCAAGGGGAGCATCCAGCAACTCTCTCTGAGTTAGTGCACCCAGTGGTGTCAACTAGGAAGGTTCTCTCTGGTCACAGTGAATTTTTTTATAAAAACAGTTTCACTTGAACCTCGTTTTTTTGTGACAACTAATTTAAGAGAAAAGCTTGTAGCTGTGAAATTTTGTTTCCTGCTTGGGAAAAATGCTACCGAAACTGTTGTGATGTTGAACATAGGTTACACGGACAGCGCTATGGGAAAAACTCAGGTTCATGAGTGGTTTTCTTGTTTCAAAAAAGGTGAAATGTTGATTGATGACAAACCTTGTTGTGGACTGCCGTCAACTTCCTGAACAGATGAAAATGTTGACAAAGTGTGTGCACTTGTGCTCAAAGATTGATGATGGGCCACTGAAGAGATGGGGAAGTTAGCGGGACTATCTTGGAGCTGGGTTTGGCGAATTTTAACAGAAGATTTGGGAATGAGAAGGGTCGCTGTGAAATTTGTGCCTCAGGTGCTGACTGACCAGGATGATAAAGAGTGTCGAGTGGAAACATGCTGTGCTTTGAAAGAACAGTTCTGAAAAGACCCAGACTTTTTCTTTAAGGCCATTACTGGTAATGAAATGCGTTGCTATTCCTACCACCCCGAATCAATCAAGCCAGTGGAAGATGCCCTCGTCACCAAAAAAAACTTTTCAAGGGAAATCAAAGACCAACCAACATGATGCGAGGGGGAAAGTGCATTTGAAGTCTGTCCACCAGGTCAGAATGTTAATCAAGCCTTTTCTTCAGAGGTTCTAAAAGATTGCGTAACAGTGTGTGACAAAAAAGGTCCTGATTTTTGGCAGGCAGGGGACTGGTTTTGCCACCAACACAATGCACCTGCTCATGCAGCCATCTCAGTGCACCAGTTTTTGGCAAAGAACATCATGCCTTTCTTGGCCCACGCAACTTACTCACCTGACCTCGCTCCGTGTGACTTCTTTTTGTTTCTGCAAATGAAGAGGGACATGAAAGGATAGGGATTTGATGACATAGAAAAGGTGAAAAAAATCAACGAGAGGTGCTATCAGCCACCCAGATGAGTATGAAAAATGTTTCCAAGAATGGTATAGCAGATTTGACAAATGTATTAAGTGTAATGGAAAGGTGATAAGTTTGTTTTGTAAAAAAATTTAAATACATAGCTTTGAAAAAAAATTCCATTTGGGGGGTGGGGGTTCCCTCCTTGTAGCCCAGAAATTACAAGTTATTTGGTGACTACAGAAGCTATTATCCACCCAATCAAATTATTGGATCCTGAGAATACTGAAGTAAAAATGTGGTCCTAGTCTTTAGAATGTTCTCAGTCAAATGTGAAAGAAGTTTAAAAATAATGATACTATACTGCAAAAAGGGGTGGTATATATAAGAAGCTGTAAGAAGACAGAGAAGGGAACACTGACCCTAAAAAGATAGGACAGTCTTTTAAAGACAGAGAAATACACACAACCTGAGTCTTAAGGAAAAGTGAGAGTTAGACATGAAAAAATAAGGCCTGCTGACTGGAGACTAAATATATGTGAAAAAAACAATATAAGAGGTTGAAAGATGTAGGAAGGAGTTGGATAACATTAAAAATAATGGTCACATTAGAATACTTTGAGCCAGACACTATTTTTATATAGATTGCCTCCTATAATCATCACAACTAACCTATGAGACTAACTCATTCACTGCTATCGAGTCAATTCTGATTCATACTCTATAGAACAGGGTAGAATTGCTCCTTTGGGTTTCTGAAACTGTAATTCTCTACAGACATATAAAGCCCATCTTTTTCTCCAAAGCAGCTGGTGGTTTTGAACTGTTGACCTTGCAGTTGGCAGACTCAATGCATTACCACTATACCACCAGAGCGCCTAGCCTATGAGAAGTATACTATCTATCCAATATTCTATACAATTAAAATACTGAAGCTTAGAACAATTAAGCTACTTGCTCACAGTCCCACAGCTATTAAGTTCCAGAACTGTGATTCAAGCCTGGGTAGCATAGTACTAGCGAGGACATTACTAATCAATCATTATTAATCAGTGACATCATTAATCAAGCATCTTATATGCTGGTAGAGCAGTGGTTCTCAACCTTCTTGATGCCACGACCCTTTAATACAGTTCCTCATGCTGTGGTGAGTCCCCCCGCCCCCCAACCATAACATTATTTTCGTTGCTACTTCATAATTGTAATTTTGCCACTGTTATGAATCAGGCGACCCTGTGGAAGGGTCGTTCGACCTCCAAAGGTTGAGAACCCACAGGTTGAGAACCACTGTGGTAGAGGATTTTAACCCAGGAAGTTCCACATTTCGTTATCCGTTAAAAAATAGTAGGAGCAATAGTATGAGAAGGGTTCGGACTAGAAGTAGACACCCATAAGGAAGCTACTATAGTGGCCCAAGTTTGATACGATGAGAACTTAAACTATATCAGGCAGTGAACAAAAATTAAAGAGGAGAGTTATTTTAAGAGTAGTCTAAATCAATAAACCTTAATCATCAATCAATTGACTGGAATGCCATCTCCAGAATTATCGACAGGTATATAGCCTAGTGACTGAGGTAAATGGTAATTGGTACCCATAAAAAAAAAAATGCAATAAAACTTACAGTGGCATATAACCCATCAGTACTGCAGTTCACTTTCTTGAAAGCAGGTTTCATATAACTTAGGCTGCTATTAAATATAAGCAAATGACTAATAACTTCCCAGAATCATTTTTAAGAGCAGGGGTTGGTTGGCGAACCATGTTTCTCAGGCAAATCCAGAACTTGCATATTTTTGTATGGCCCATAAGCCAAGAACAGTTTTCATATTAGTGAAAACTCAAAAGTAGATGTTTCATGACATATCAAATTGATGTGAAATTCAAATTTCAGTGTCCATATATACAATAGCATTCAAAATAGTCACTCATCTGTTTAAATAACAGCTATGTCTCTTTCATGGCACAATGGGTGAACTGAGCAGTTGTAACAGAGACTGAATGCCCTGCAAACCATTAAGAACTTTGGCTTTCAGTGAAATAGAAAGCCATTAGAGGCACTAATAAATGAAAATCATGCTAATTTTCAGAAGTTGTCACCCTACCTGCTACATAAAAAGTAGACCACTGAGAAGGTCAACAAGGGATGACCACAAGATCTGTTAGCAGGCCCTATGTGATACTGATTGGCTTATGGTGACACCGTTGACAAAGGTAAAAAGTGATCAGTCTGAGTGTTTTGAAGGTAGAGAAGATAAGATTTGTTGAGGGACTGGGTTCAAAATCAGAGAGAATATGTCTTTGAATTTATGGAGAAAAAGTGGGAGAGACATTAAGGATTATTCCAGGATGCTGGCTTGAGTAATGAAGGAGATAGAGAGAGATCATTGACTGCGATGGGAGATCACAGCCATAGGACCAAGTATAATTGTAGGAAAGTACATGTATTGTGGGACAGGACTATCCAAGATTCAGTTTGGGATAAATTAAGTACAGGTGGATCATTAGACAATCAAGTGGAAATGTTGAGCAGACAAGTGGACATAAGAGTCTAAAGATTAGAGGTCCATCCTAAAGATACAGACAAATTTGGGGAATTGCCATGTTGAGAATATAAAGAAGTTTCAGTAGAGGGTTAGAAAGTGATTGAAGTGATTTCAACAACTAAGAAAAGAAGTAGAAACATACAATACAAAAGTAATGAAGAACATATTGCTATAATATCAGAGAAACACGTATTAAGCAAAACTATTACAATGTGAAGTTAATGTCCTGACATATTTCCCACTGAGGGTTTTGGACTTCTATAGGTGGTGTTTCTATCTAACTCTTCCCCACAGACTTGTGTGCTCTTCTTACACCATGTCAAAATAGCGGTTCTGACATCTTCCAGGAACTCAAAGCCTTTGAAGTGTTCCTTTTAAATGTTATTTGAATTGGAGTACAAAAAGAAGTCTGAAGGGACAAGGACCTGACAGAGTAAGATTTCCTAAGGAAACTCCTTTAGACAGCCTTTGGCTACCTGTGCAGAAAGCACGGGCACATTGTTGCAATGGAAAGATAAATACCTCGGTGCAACTTTCCTGGACTTTTTCTAACAAGTGCAGTTTTCAAGTTCCTTAAAAGTTCTTTCTAATGAGCCCCCAAGATCACCCTGTGTCCTTAGAGAAAATCTATCAGGATTACTCCTTTGGAATCCAAGAAATAGTTGCATAACTTTCTGTGATGAACACTTTGCCTTGAGTTAAAGTGAGCCAGAAAATCCACTCAGAAACGACTGCCCTGATTGGGCCTTTTCTTTTTTTGAATACACGTGTATTACTGTAAGAACTTGCCTGCAGCCATCCACTGATGGATGATACATGTATAAACACATTTTATTAGGAATAAACCTGTGCAGGAAATGAAACATTGGTAGGAATACTTTCTGATCCAACCACATATAAGCAATTTTAAATTTTTGAAACTTTTATTTTTTAAAAATAACCTTTTAATATGAGTATTTGATAGTAGGAAAGTACACATATAAACATGTAACTCAGTAAATTATTAAAGTGAATATCAAGTAAGAAAATTGAAGACATGAGAAAAAGACAAAAATGGTTAAAGCAACTCTCTTGAGTGATGGGCAAGGGATCTAGTGTACTTGTAAGTTGACCGATGACTGGCCTCTGTCTGAGATGAGATCATCTGTGGCAAAGAGATACAGTCAACAAACGTGGAAAATATAGCCAAAAGGCACCGAGTCCCAGGAACAGAAAACATCACTTATGAAGGTGGCAATTAGAGCAGAGTTCTTGAAAGAGAATTGGGTTTCAGCAGGGTAACAAAGTAAAGGAATTTTGTTTAGAGAGGAGATGGGACAGTTAGAAATCAGAAACCAAGAAAGCACCTGAGAGTTTGGAGGGTTGGGGGAATACGAGATGATTCAAACTAAGGGATGGTCAAAGAGAAAGGACACAAAAATATCAATACTTAATGTTTCCTAGGAGTTATATGACTATGTTAAAATAACTAGTATGGTCTATTTTCCTGTATGGTGGTATTGGCTCTATGAGGAAACAGGGTTAAAAAGGCATGGTGGAATTTGTCCTGTTTTTGAAGGAAACGTAGTGGTAAAGTTGTGAGCCCTGGAAAGAAAAAGTGAGGTTTTCCCCAAAGGATTGCTGAACTCCCAGGCCTTAACTTCTCCTAATTAAGATTATCTTAATTAACATTCTTAATTAAGAGCACTAAGGAAGTTGAAAAAAGTCCTGGTGCAGCGGGGTAAGCACTGGGATGCTAACCGCAAGGAAAGCAGTCCAAACCCACCAGCCACTCCATGGCTAAAAGTGGCAGTCTGTTTCCAGAGATTTACTGCCTTGGAGACCCAAATGGCAAAGTTCTACTCTTTGTACAGGCTCAATATGATCGACAATTCAGTACTAGGTTTTGGAGGGGGCTGAGAGAGAAACCTGTCATTAGGAGCACACAGTACACAGAGCACCCTGCCTCCTTTCTCTAGATCAGGGGTGCTCAATATGTTGATCACGATCTTCTAGTCCATCACAAATGTAGTGTGGGTAGATCGTAAGGCATTAATAAAATAGACCTAAGCCTATCATCAATCCCGTCACTTAACTGATATACAGCGCAGCCAATCAGATGCAATCTCAGGTGTCAAATGCATGTGCAAACAACTGCGCTAAGTGCAGCAAAACCGACAAGTTAAGTTATCGCCAATTTTTAGACCTTGGTTTTTTTTCTTGTAAACATAAGAAAGGGTATTAAAATGAGTCGGGGAGCTGGACCAAGTAAGAAGACTAAAACGTATCACTTTCATACGGAATGGGAGATGTTGACACCACAAGCCGACATTCAGCTGAAGTCCAGAGCGCATGAACAATTCTGGAACTTACTCGCAGAAGGAAAGTGCCCAAACAGGAGAAAATGTGCTACCTCCTTGACTGCATTATTCAGCTCTCCTTATTGATGTGAGTCAGCCTTTCCCACCTAAAGATCATTAAGTCCAAGCACCGTTCCACCATGACTGATGACCATTTGGAAGTGTGCTTGAGGCTGATTGTCAGCAGCCACTGTCCAGACTATGCATCCCTGGCTCATTCCATTCAGTGCAAGTCATCAGAGTAAACTCAGGTCATGACAAAAAATGTACATAGTTGTGTTGTTTTGTACAATATGGACTCATGCAGTTATGCAAGGTACATCAACATACGTTGTACATATAAAGAATTCTCAATGCATTTAAGAATAAATGTAATAAATAAATAAATAAAAATTAATGTTTTGCATTTTTGTAGTTCGTAGATCATTGTGACGTGATCACTTTAGAAGTAGCTCGCATGCTGAAAAAATGTGAGCACCCCTGCTTTAGATGCTATCTTGAAGCTTGGCTCTTCACTGGGCCTTCTAATCAGAGCCTGAACTAATGGAAAGTAACTGAAGTGGCTCCCTGGGGCATACAGCAAGAAGCACCGAGAAATTAGGAATCAAGATAGATATTTCCAAGATACATTAAAAAAAAATGTAGAAATCTCGTGCCCAATAAAGCATTAAGATGTTAAATACGGGCATGATCATAAACAACTCAGAATTCAGTCCTATTACTACATTTGCCTTATCTTCCACAAGCAAAGCAGTGAAATTTAACACGTTTTATCAACAGATTTACAAAAACCAAAAGAAACAGAAAATGTGTCTTGTAGAAGTGTACTGTCATTGCAGGCGCTATAAACAATGCTCACCTGTTCTCTTCTTCAGGTTTAATTTCGCTCTGCTACTCATATGTTTTGAGACAGGCGTGATGACTTTTTTGCTCTTTTTAGCAGTTGATGTGTTAGATTCCACAGGCGAAAAGTGGATTCTTTTGATTTCTTGTATTTCAGTAAGTCCCACAACTGCACTTCTCACATTTGCAGCTTCCAAGTTTCCAGCACTCTTTCTTTTACGGGTAACTAAAGTAGTCTTTAAGGGAGATCTTGTTTCATTTTTACCATTGTTACAATTAATTGCAATTGGCTCTATAATTGGAAGATATGAATGAAAAGACTCTTTGTCTCTTTGATTGTCAACTATCCCTTGCTCAAGTTCACCTGCTGTAATGTTGAGGCATCTCTTCACCTTTGGTTTATTAGTTTCAGTTTGTTTTTTTCTGACACAGTTAGATTTCCTTTTAGTAACAGTGCTGGAAAGTATTGGGCGTTTTTTGGATTGTTCATTGTGTTTGTAATTAGAATCCTGAACTGCAGAAAATTTCAGATGGTTTTGTTTTGTAAAACTTTTGTAATCTGACTTCATACCTACAGTTTTGGGTTGTTCAAAAATAGCTCTGGGAGATTTTGAATCCTGACAATCATAAGTACCTGGTAAAACTTTATTTTTGATCCAAACTTGAGGCGGCTGTGGGGCCTGTAAATTGTCATTTGCTAATGGTGATAGTTTACATGTTTGCTGAGATGAACATATATAGGCCATGTTATCTTTTACAAATTGATTTGGTGACAGTATGGGTTTACCTGTCTCTGATTCTAGAGCCTGTTTTAGTCCATAACCATCACTTACAAAAGAATCTGGACTTAAAATAGCTTGATAAATTTCATGTACACTTTTTGATTCCAAATGCATAACCTTTGAATTGTCTTTCAGAAATGTATCTGAAGACAGGCGCGTAACTAGTTCAACTTCATTATTACCTATGTGGCTATTACGTACAAAAGAGTCCGGACTCAGAAAATCCCCATTGCTTTGTGTAATACTCAAAGTTGAAGAAGAGCAGTTTGGAGTAAGAATGAGTCCGTTATTCTCATCAGTTTGGCCATTAATTTTGTTGATGGAATTAAAGGATCCTACTGATGTGACTTGCTGATTACGGTCATTTGAAATAGTGGAGCCTTCTACTTTCAATACGTCCACATGTTCAGATATGTGAAGAGACGTGTAGGTGGTAGATTGACGGTTAGAAAGTGACAAACAAGCCTCACCATAGCTTCCTGTGGAAGAGGGGCTAATTGGTGATATGGGGGATCTATTTTCTTCAAGGACTAAAGAATTATGTTCTGTTGGGGAATAGACTTCAGTCATAGCCAAATTTTCACAGGCTTGCAATGGGCTTCTAGCTGTGTCAATTTTTTGGAAAACATTGAATGTTTCATTAACATTTTCACTATTAGAAATTCCTTTGCTATGATTTGAAGAGGTTGAAACAGTCTTCTTATTAATGCTATTCCAAAGCCTTCCCTGCAAAAAGAAACAAAATATATCTCATAAGTGGTTAGCTGCTTATTATATTTAAATTAGCAATATAATGCATGTTAACTCACTTTAAGTGTGATATCAAAATAATTTTGACAGAACAGTAAACATTTCTTTAGATGAAATCATAGAATTATTAAAAGTTATTACCTTTTTCTTTTTCCGTTCTTCTGCATTTCCTAGTAATATAGCTTGGTGTTTTAAAATATCATTTACAAGAAACGTCACAACCTCTCTTACTCGGCCTTCCTTGACTGGAGTCCAGCTAATAGAAATCACAATTTTTTCTTTAGGCTATGAAAAAAACAAACAAAAAACAACCCATTTTAAATGGCTTTTACAATAAAACATAATAATTAAACCACATCATATAAAATTTAGAATATAATAAGAAATCAATCATTGTAAGTCACTGGCAACAACAACTGTGAAGATGGCACGGGACCAGGTGGTGTTCTGTGCTGTTGTGCAGAAATAGGATCACTGTAAGTGGAACTGACTTCAGCACATCTCACAAGTCATCTACAGTCTATACTCATCTCATTATATGGAAAAAACTCAATACAAACAATAGGATTCAAACACCAATAAAAGATATAATGAAATATTAATTATACACAAAAGCAATACAACAGTCTTTAAAATATTTTGTTATAGTTGGGTATTTTTAATTTACAGAGATATTGTTGCTTCTTTAGATATCTAAACATACTATTTCCATTTCAAATACACACCCATTCTTCACTTAGCAATATAGTTAGGGCCAAGTATTAGGTAATTATGTAAAAATCAGCAGTATGATATCAGATGACAAAATGATGGATGATTTCATCATTACCTAACTGGAAAATTACACCTTCACATAACTGCCAAACCACTGAGAGTCATGACCTAAACTGACACATAACTTTAGTCCTCACAGCAAGCATTATTCTCACCTAACATTTGCTGTCAGACATATTTAACTAATGCACAAATTAGTTGTAGAAATTTTCTACTATTGCTGTAATAATGAGATAGCTAATAAGTAAGAAGGTAGGTGTAATGACATTGCACTATGGAGCTGTTTTAATAAAAGAAATATAAAAGCAATCAACGAAATCCCTTTGTTCTACAAACTCCTCTTAAGTTCATTTACATCATCACATCATCATCATTACTAATATGAGGAGACTTCATAGAATGAAAAGATAGAAATAACAAATGTAAACTTTATTTCTCAACATATAAGCTTCACCCAGCTCCAGACACCTTTGCAAGTAACGATACCAACTACTTAGTTCATCCATAAGGGGCACTGGCAACATAGTAGGTAGGAAGGACCCTGGCTGCTAACTGGAAGGTTGGCATTTAAAACCCCTCAGCTGCTCCGCAAGAGAACGTTGAGGTTGTCTGTTCTCATAAGGACAGTATCCAAAACCTTTCACAGGGCCACTATATAAGGAATCTTGGTGGCACATGGGGGTTATGTGTTGGCCTGCTAACCACCAGGTCAGTAGTTCAAAACCACCTGCTGCTCCAGGGGAGTAAGATAAGGCTTTCTAATCAAGATTTGGTTTCAGAAACACCCATTGGCAGTTAGTTCTACTCTGCCCTTTGCTGTGAGTCAGAATCCACTAAATGGCAATGGGTTAAAGAACTGAGGTTTCTGGGAATGTAACCATGTGAATGCAGTCTATTGTATATGATTAACTGAATAATATCCAACTCATTACCATCAAGACGAAGCTGACTCATAGCAACCCTATAGGACAGGGTAGAACAGCTCCAGTGAGTTTTCAGATAATCTGTTAACAGGAGTAGAAAGCCCCGCCTTTCTCCTGCAGAGCGTCTGATGCATGGAACTGTTAACCTTGGGGATCGCAGCCCAATGTGTAACCACTACTCCACCAGGACTCTTGAATAATATTATTGTTTACAATTATTAACTGTTGATAATATTTTTAAAGTCATGCTCTTTAAGTTTGTTTTGTTTTGTCTTTTATGGTTAGGAGGCAAAATGAAGTCAGAAGGAACCAAATCAGGACTGGACGGTGCTTTCCCACTGAAACTCACAAAACTGACCTTTGTGTGATGAGAGGAACCAGCATGAACACTGTTTTCCTGGAGAAAAAGTCTTTCCCAGGTGTTGGTCTGTTGAAGCTTTAGCAAATTTTCACAAATCAGTCATAACAAGCAGATGTTATAATTCTTGGACCTTCCAGGAAACCAACAAGCAAAACTGCTGTAAGCATCCCCCAAATCTGTTGCTATGACTTTATTCTTTGCTAGTTAATTTTTGCTTTAATTAGACCACTTCCACTGCTTGGTAGCCATTGCTTTATTGTCCTTTGTCTTCAGAATCTTACTGATAAAGCCATGTGCCATCTCCTGCTTACAATTATTCCAAGAAATGCATCGGATCTTGAATACATTTATCATCTCCAGTTGAAGGTCTGCTCTTGTCTGCAGTTGATTTGAATGCAACAGTTTGGGCACCCATAGAATGGAAAATGTTCAGTCCGAATTGTGAACGCTGAATCAATTTCAATGTCTGTGGCATTGGTTATTGTTTCCACTATTGGCCATTGGCCTTGTTCAACTAAAAAATCAAGCCAAACTCATTACCATGGAGTCAGTTCCAGCTCATAGTGATTTCTTAATTTAGAGCACCCAAAAGATGAATTTTTCTTCTCAAATTGATGTGAATGGTCCGACACTGTGTACATCATCTTCAACATCAGCTCATTCCTTCTTAAACAGCTGTCCATTTGTAAATTGATGATTTCTTGGGGGGGCAATGTCCCCATTAACTTTTCTCAAAGCATTAATGATTGATCTGACCATTATTCCACCTAAGCTTCACCAGAAATTGAATGTTTGTTCTGCTGCAATTTTAGCAGACTTCAAATTGCTCTGACTTTTTTCAATTGATGTCTTAACCTTCTTAGTGCCTTAAAGTGGATCCTCTACACACGTTATAAGAAATTAGTACAAGTTTGTTTTGGTGCCAGTTTTTTTTAATCCATGCAGAAGTTTTTGTGTTTTTTTTCATAATATACATTCTCCATGACTCTTAAGACCCTTCATATTTGTTAATTCCTTATATCATCTCAGGCATATGTACAAATATCTTAAATACTCATTTAGTTCTAGAATGGGTTTATATCACTAGGATGGAAGTACTATGATTATGCATAATTTACATGGATGACATGACCTAGTTCAGAAAGCTTTAATTATCTCACCCAGTCAGATAGCAGTTTATTAGAGCCCAGGCGGCGCTGCTCCAGTCCAGATTTTAGCACCTACATCCAGTTTGGAAGTTAGATAGAAGACCTTATCTGCCAAATACAAAACCTTACCTGACAATATAAACTCTGTATCTGCTGTTTTTCAGGGGGAAAGGATGAGTTTTATTTTAAAGGAGGAACTATATAGCATGATAAACAGTTGGGGTTTTTTTTTTAAACTGAACTTTATAAACCAGTTAATAGAAAAAATAAAGTATTTGTTCCACATTATGACAAAAAGTAACAAGTAAAACCATTATGTAGCTAGAAAACCTATTATGCGGTTACACCTTTATATAAAAAGGAAAGGAGGCATTCATAAAAGAGACAATCCCACCATCAATTCAATTCCAAGTAATAGACACCCAAGATAGGGTTTCGAAGACCAAATCTTTCCAAGAGGAGTATACATGAGCCACTAATAACACACATGTCCATGAATTTCATCAGAGAGCTTCTTCTCACTGCTTTGTGAAATGGTTCTTATCTAACTAATTCAGCCTTCCTTGGATGGTGGATTAGTATCATTCTTTCAGAGGTTCTACTCAGTGGAAAGGCCACAGAAGTCAAAATCAGAATGCAAATTCCCTGAACTTTGGTGATGGACCAGTGCAACTCAGTAAAAGCTAAGGCGTGAAACAACATCATAAAATGAAATTTGATTCAACTAAACTGCCAACAAAAGGGGGAAAAGGAAGGGCGGTGGCAAATACCAAACTATGCATACCACATCTGCATATTAAAACAATCCTAGAGAGGTTTCTTGCTGTAGACATTTAGCCAAAACACAGTTCATTATCACACACACACACACACACACACACACACACACAATACATCTTAATATGGCTGGTAGAAAGCACTCAAAAAAGCTGCTCTCACCAATGTATTTTTCAAAGCACATTTTAAAAACACTACTATTGATAATAAAGTTACCATTTGTTAATTTAGAATCGCAAGAACATTTCACAATGCTTCACGTTTATTCAAAATGCCTCACTATTCATTAGGGAGTAGGACCAGTGGTGGCTGCACGGTTGAATTCTCGCCCTCCAGGCCAGTTGGATCCTAGCCAATGCGCCTCACACCCCCCCACCACCCAACTGTCCACGGAAGCTTCCTCGCTGGAAGCTGCACAGGTTTCCCTGGGACCTCCACACTGACGTGGCCTCGGAAGAAAGGGCTGGAGATGTCCTGGGGGAAATCGGCGAGTGTAAACCCCATAGATCGCAGCGCTCGGATCTGCAGCCAATCCTGGGGCTGGCGCTGGAGCGGACGGCGTTTGTTTTCAAGAGCGCCGAGTCCCCGTGACAGGAGGACAGATGACAACAACAGCGAATACGCAAAACCAAAACAAGCCCGGCCGTGGGGTCCATTTCGATCCACAGCGACCCTACAGGACGGAGTAGAATGACCGCAGGGTTTGCAAGCCCGTCAGTCTCCACGGACGCCGACGTCCTCCTCTCTCCCCGCACCAGAGGCTGGTGGGTTCCAACCACAGAACTCGTGGTTGGCAGCTGAGAGCTTAACAACTGCGCCACCAGGCCGATGTAACTGTTTTAAAGATTCTGCATATGAACGCGCTGTCATCACCCAAGTCCCCGATGGGTGGCTACCGAGGGACGCCGGATTGGCTCCACTTCGAGGAACAGGGTCTCCCCGAGAGCCCCACCCTGCGCCCGGCGCCCCTCCCACCTACCTGCAGCCGGAAGCCGCGCGTCGCGATGCTGAAGCCGCGGTCGGCGGCCGGGAAGCGGCAGACCCTCACGTCGGCCGCCTCCTCGTTGGGATTGTCCAGGGTGAGAGACCGTGTCCGCGAGGCGCCCAGGCGGACGTCCCCGAAGCAGAGGAAAGGCGCCTTGCAGAAGTGGCTGAGAGACAGCACGGGCGGGGAGGCCGCCTCCTCGGCGGCCCCGGGGCCCCGCAGCCTGGCCGGCGGCCTCCGCTCCGTGGGACTCAGCTCCCAGTAGCTTCGCCCCACACGCCGGGTCGCCATGGCGGCTCCGAGACCCCGCGAGGCCGCTGACCGCTTTCCCTCAACGCTGGCTGTGGAGGGTGTGGAAGGTGATTCGCCCACCCTTCTTTTCCAGTCTCCACGCCCGAGGAGAAAACGGGATTCAATCCCGCAAATCGACCCTCACCAAAGAGCTGCCAACCAGCCAAAGCTTTCCGCCTCCGTTTAAACCTCCGCCTCCACCAATGAGCACCTCCGGGCGCCGCCCACTTGATCAGAGAGCCAATCACTAAGCAGTGGGTGCCACTGGCCAATGAGACCGCAGCGCCTTATTTAAACGCTGGCCTCTGCCGTCAGTGCGTCTGCAAAGGCAGCCAAGTTGGGTGACGGAGTTCTGAGGGCTCCCCCAAGCCGGTTGCTAGTAGTGGAGTCCACCCTAAGGTTCTCGTCTGCAGGATGTGCTGATGGAAAGAGTAACAGCGTTTCCAAGACCATCGTAGTACTCCCTGGGGTTGCCGGGCAAAGCTATTAGTAGAAGTTCATTCAACAGTATCCCTCTCAGAATTTCATGAATTAACTAGCCTTACTTTTGCAATTCTTTGGTTCTTAATAGTAGAAATAGGAATGTTAAAACGATAGCGTGAGCGTGCATAGTTCAGTGATTTACCAAAGCAAGTGACCAGTACATTTGCATTCTGATTCTTACTGCTGGGTGCTGGGAGCATGCCTTGCAATAAGCACTGAAATCCGAGGTTTCCCATAGTTCACAAGTTATCCTTTTGACAGGCGATGCCTCTGACACTGTGATCGTAGGTATCTAGTGGTTAGGAGCCCTGGTGGCGTGCTGGTTACACCACACGCTGAGCAACTTGAAACCATCAGCCGAACTTCAGGAAAGATGAGGCTTTCTGCTCCTTTAAAAAGGTACGGTCTTCGAAACCCACAGGGGCAATTCTACCCAGTCCTGTTAGGTCGCCGTGAGTCAGAATCCACTCGATGGCAATAACTTTGGAGATCTGAGTTTTAGGACTCTTGGGTGGTACAAGCTGTTTGCCATCTGTCTGCAATTTTAACTCGAACCCACCCAGCAGTTGCACAGAAGAAAGATTACAGCTAAGAAAAGCCCCTGGAGGGAAACAGATCCCCATTGGACGCGATGGGAGCTACAGGGATTTAATCCCTAACTGGTCGATCGAGCTGCTACTCTTTTCATTAAGTTTTCTTATTTAGGTATACATAGACTGTGACGAGCGAGGATACCCGAAAAGAATTTTAGCGCTGCATAGTACTTTCTGAGCGGTCTTCTAAAGCGACGGAAATAGTTGCCGGAAGAAGGTGGGCGGGGACTGTGACATCCAATGATAGGTGGCTTCTGGAGCTGGAGGGCGTGTCCCCGTGAGAGGATTGACCAATGAAAGCCCTCAACTCCAGAGACCAGGTTCGGCCGTGGCTGAGGGAGCGATGGAGAATTTCACCGGCCTCTTTGGAGCTCCGGCGGACCCACCACCGCCTCCCGCCACACTCGGCTTCGGCCCGGGAAAGCGGCCTCCTCCGGATGGAGGACCCGGCACGGTCCCGCCCGCCTCCGCGGCTACAGCTCCTCCTGGCGCCGACAAGTCAGGAGTGGGTTGTGGCCCCTTCTACCTGATGCAGGAACTTCCCGGAAACACAGAGCTAACAGGTAGCACCAGTTTGATCACACACACTACAACCTGGAACACACCTATAATAAATTCTGTGGAAAGAAGGTGAAGAAGAAGCTCAGTAACTTCTGCCAGGAATGATTGATCTGCCTGGTTCCCACGATAACAGCAGCCTCCGCTCCCTCATTGAAAAGCCCCCTAATCGTGGTGGCACTTTTAATCCTATCACAGGGACCATGCTGGCTGGCTTTCGTCTCCATTCTGGCCCGTTGCCAGAGCAGTGTCTTCTGATGCATATTCAACCTCCCAAGAAGAAGAATAAGCACAAGCACAAACAGAACCGAATCCAGGATCCTGTCCCCCCAGGAACCCCATCTGATTCAGATCACAAAAAGAGGAAAAAGAAAAAAGGAGCATCCTGAACAGAAAAGAAGAATTGACACAGTCCAGACCACTCAGGTATGGGCAGTTCCCAGGGCAGCAGCAGCAGTAGCCTCCGCTAATAGAACTGCTGGACTCTGCCGAGAGGCATTTCCTGCTGTACTGAACCTGCTGCCAGAAGCTGCCACCGCCTGGGAGCATCCCCGCTTGGCTGAGGCCAAGGCCAGCCCCTGCTGGGCTCAGCAGAACTTAGCGTATTAAAAAAGGGACATGCTTCTGTGAGGCTCGCCTGGCTGGCTCTCTTGTGGACAACTCTTCCTCTCCCAGGAAACTTTCATTCCATCTCTTTTGTACAGTTTATGGAATCTAGGGTTTGCTCTGGTTTGTTAAAAAGATTTTTCTTGGAGGTAAAAAAAAGTATTTATCAAAAAAAAAGAAAATCCCCTGGAATTGCCAGGGTAACCTAGCAACAAGGACTATTTCCTAAGTATAATAAAGCTTACATAGCACTATCACTATATGCCAGAGATTGTTTTAAGCACTTTAAATCTTGGCCTCAACTTTATGAAATGTGAACTATTATTTGTATTTTACAGAGAAGGAAACTGAGGGCAAGAGAGGTTAAGTCACTTGTCTAAGGGCATGTGCACAGGAAATGTACCCAGGCAATTGCTGTGGCAAAGTATGTATATATGCTTGGGTGCACCCATATGTAAAAAGAAAAGCCCTTGAGTGGGGGAAAAAATTAGGAAAATTTTATATGAAATTATATTGAATGACATCCTAGTTTGACCTAAGGTTAAACCCTGTTACTTTCAATCATTTTTAAATAAGTAAAATTGTTTTATTTAATCCAGTTCTCAGGATTGATGCACAATGAAAGTGCTACTTTTGAAACCAAGAAAAAAAAGATTTTTTTATCAACAAAAATCCTAATGTAAATTATAATCATTTTCAAATTTGATTATAACTTATATTAGGATGTAAATTATAATCATTTTCAAATTTGATTATAACTTATATTAGGATTTTTGTTGATAAAAAATAATTTTCAAATTTGATTAATTTACATTTATCATTTCATATTATGTGAATACCAGAAAGATATTTACTTGTGTTTTATTGGATTTGCAAAGACATTTGACTGTGTGGATCATAAAAGAACTATGAATAGACTTGAGAAGAATGGGAATTCCAGAACAGTTCATTGTGCTCGTGTGCAACCTTTACATGGATCAAGAGCCAGTTGTGTGAACAAAACTCACTGCCGTGGAGTTGATTCTGACTCTAGTGAACCTATGGCACAGAAAATTGCCCCTGTGGGTTTCTGAGACTATAACTCTTTACTGGAGTAGAAAACCTTGTCTTTCTACTCAGTTACAAGTACTCTTCAAACACTGACTGATTAGCAGCACAATGTGTAACCACTACACAAGTTTATAATCAGAAACGGTGTACATCGGGGTTATATCTTCTCATCATACTTATTCAGTATATGTATGATAAAAAATAATCAGAGAAGCTGGAATATGGCATAAGGATTAGAGGAAGGCTTATTTAATTAAAAAATTAACCTGTAATATGCTGATGACACAGTCTTGTTTGCTGAAAATGAGGAGGGCTTGAAACACTTGCTGGTGAAGAGCCAGGTTTGCATTCTTCAGTGTGGATTATAATTCAATGTAAAGAAAACCAAAATCCCCACTGAACTAATAAGGAACATCACGATAAATGGAGAACAGATCGGAGTTGCCAGGATTTTGTTTTGCTTGGATCTACAATGAATGCTCATGGAAGCAGAAGTTAAGAGTCAAACTACACATCACATTGGGTAAATCTGATGCATAAGACTTCTTTGAAGTGTTGAAAAGCAAGGATGTTACTTTTAGGCCTAAAGTTCACCTGATCCAAGCCATGGTATTTTCAATTACCTCATAAACATGTGAAATTTGGACATTGAAAAAGGAAGACCACAGAAGAAGAACTGATACATTTGAATTTTGGTGCTGGTGAAGAATATTGAAAATACCGTGGACTGCCCATAGAACTTGGAAGAAGTACAGTCAGAATGCCCCTTAGAAGCTAGGATGGTAAGATTTCTTCTCATGTACTTTGGACATTTTATCAGAAGAAACAAGTTCTTGGAAAAGGATACCATGCTCGGTAAAGTAGAGTGGCAGTGAAAACCCAGGACAAGATAGACTGGCACAGTGGCTGCAGCAATAGGATCCAAAAGAAAACATTTGTGAGGATGGCACAGGACCTGGTGGTGTTTTCATTCTGTTCACACAGGGACCAACTTGACAACACTTAACAACATTTCAGACTGTCAATGTTATTCATCAAATTAGTATTATAAATGCAAGCCTTCATCAAGTCAAACAAAAACAAAACCCTTTAGACATGAGCTTTATCTTTTAACAGGCAGTGAGCTTTGTTTTCCAATATCACTTTTCATATTTTTTCTTCATAAAGCCTGGCTATCCTGATTTGAAAAAACAAGAATGAACTCTACTTGTATTTTTAAAAATTTTCCCCTCACCTTTCATTCCTCACCTTTCTATGCCTGTTCTTTAACCATTTAATATGTTGCCACAAGTAGCTGGAAATGACTCTAATAGTCAACCTGCTTCACTAATTGAAGGCTGGATTCAACACTGGTTTATAATCAATTGGGTTAAAGCTGGAACCTACCTTTATTTTGTGAAATATCCAAAGGCCTTGAGAGATATATGTGCAATCTACTCAACCACCTCCAACCCCCCACCTCCACACACACTCATTAATGCATTGATGATGGTGACTTGGAAATCACTGCAGAGGCCTGTGATAACAGCTTTCTACAGACCAGAGATGGTGATCCAGTGGCATCAAGTCAATTCTGACTCACAGCAGTAAGTAAGGAAAACTAATGAGAATGGGTCATCTTATCTCAGTGTCAATGATAGGACCCACACATGATAAAGGGCAGTGGAATTTAATAGACAAGGTGGCAGAACCACAACATTCAAGGACTAG